AAAAAAAAACCTCCTCTTTTCCACAGCCTTCGCTTCTGTTTCGAGGAAATAATACGCAGAGTTTCGTCTGATATATTATAGGCAGATATAGAATCGCAGAACTGCGTTCAGATGGAGATCTAATGTAATGCTCATGTTACCTCATTTAGCAGACACGTGCATGGCCAAAAATTCCATTTGTTTGACACACTAACATCCCATTAGGGCGCCGATAACAATTACCGAGCTTTTTAATTAGTGTCTTGTTGTATTCCGTTTATTAATTTTCCAAACCACAGAGCATGAATTATTTAATAAACCGTAGTAAGGGTATTTAAATGTAATGCTCAAGTAGAATCGTGGCCGAAATAGTGCGACATTTATTAAAAAGTATTACTAATATTATTTTTGTTATAATTACTGTTTATTATTGTTATCATTAGAGACCGTCTTGTCTCTTATTTACTATTTTGTCTGCAATGTGTTCTGTTCAACTGAACAGAAAACTTGAATTTCGTGGTAAGGACCTGTTTTTGCTGGTCTAACGGAATGCACGGTCTAGAATGAGAATTCCAGATCATGGAAATGAAGAGAAATCAAATGTATAAATAATGCATGTTTCCAGAGTAATGACTGTATATCAAAGATTTGCGCGCTAAGGAAGCTAATCAAACCACTGTAAGAGAAAGAAAGAAAGAAAGAAAGAAAGAAAGAAAGAAAGAAAAAAGGGAGAAATTTTATTCGATTTTCTCTTTCAAAACAAGCTAATTTTTTTGCGCCATTGTATGTTAATTATATATTACGGTTTAATTATGGCATAAAACTTTCTGGGTCCATCGTTTCGCCGTTTTTTTATTTATTAGTATTTAACGAAAACTTTATGTAGGCTATTTTAAATGTATTTGTGCAGAGCACTATTTAAAAAAAGAACAGGTGTAGATTACAGTGGGTGTGTGTTGATCATTTTGAATTATAATACAAATACATACATTTTACATTTTTCGTTGATGTGTAAATGTAAATAATAGGCTGAATAAGTCTGAGAACGAAACATGTGTCTGTTTGTGCTGTAGAATAAGATTCTCATCCAATACACCTCAATGACAGCCTCGACTTTGATTTTCCATCATTCGTGGCGGGGGAGGGGGACAAAACAGAAAGCTGGGTGTGTCTAAGTAGAGTTGAACCGCAGAAAAGTAGTTCATCTGGATTACCTGTTATTTGCATACTTCACATTCACCAGTACAGTGAAAAGAAACACGAGTTGTGAAAATAAAACGGTACTAATCATGAGCACACGCGCATTTGAGCCAAAGCGATGATCCTTGGTCCCCAAAAGTCAGTTTCGTTTTGTTTTCTCCTAGAAGTATAGTCCATCAGTGCGCCGCGGAAAATTTCAACCTCTTCTGTTTTTGTCTTTGGTTGCAAAACCATACTCGCACCACGTTCTTTTTGAGCTCCAATTTCTCAGCTATAGCCGCGATTTTCTCCGACGACGGCCGGGGCTGCACCGCGAAATACGCCTCCAGAGATCGCTTCTCCGGGGCCGCTATGGAGGTCCGCTTGCGCTTCTTCTCGCTGCCGTTGTAAATGTCGGGTTTGCTCATTTTGTCGCGCTGGGCGCCCTCGGCCTCCTCCAGCCACGCCTGGAGGATGGGTTTGAGCGCGATCATGTTGTTGTGCGACAGAGTTAGAGACTCGAAGCGACAAATGGTACTTTGGCTCAAGCAGCCCACGCCTGGGATCTTTAGGTTGGCCAGCGCGCCCCCCACGTCCGCCTGAGTCACCCCGAGCTTGATCCGCCGCTGTTTGAAGCGCTCCGCGAACGCCTCCAGCTCCCTCGGGTCAGTGTCCGAGTCGCTAATGGAGGGCAGTCCGTTGTTGGCGAGTCCCGATGCGCACTGGTGCACACCGCCGTGGTGGCCATGTAAGAGGCCGTGGTGCGTGAGCGGCGAGTTCATGTTAATAGCAGCCTGGTGAGACAGGTGGGTGAGCCCGTGCATGTGGGAGTGCGGGTGGGCCGACGTGCTGGAGGATGGGTTTGAGCGCGATCATGTTGTTGTGAGACAGAGTTAGAGACTCGAAGCGACAAATGGTACTTTGGCTCAGGCAGCCCACGCCTGGGATCTTCAGGTTGGCCAGGGCGCCCCCCACGTCCGCCTGAGTCACCCCGAGTTTGATCCGCCGCTGTTTGAAGCGCTCCGCGAACGCCTCCAGCTCCCTCGGGTCAGTGTCCGAGTCGCTAATGGAGGGCAGTCCGTTGTTGGCGAGTCCCGACGCGCACTGGTGCACACCGCCGTGGTGGCCATGTAAGAGGCCGTGGTGCGTGAGCGGCGAGTTCATGTTAATAGCAGCCTGGTGGGACAGGTGGGAGAGCCCGTGCATGTGGGAGTGCGGGTGGGCCGACGTGGAGATCAAGCCTCCGCCGCCGCCGCCTCCTCCGCCGCCTCCGCCGGCCCCCTCGTGCGCGCTGGGCATGAGCGCGAGTGACGGCGAGCCGATGTGCTCCATGAGGTCTGGCGGCTCCAGATTCTGGTGGTGGTGGTGGTGATGGTGGTGGTGGTGGTGGGCGAGTGGCACGGTGGAGCCAGACGAGCATGGCACGGTGTTCATCGTGTGGTACGTGGCGTCGGGCTTGAACGGGTGACTCTTACCCTGGGACACCGCGATGTCCACGGCCGCCAGAGCTTCTGCGCGGGCCAGGAGCGTCTCATCCAGACTGGCGAAGATGTTGCTCTGGAGCTTTTAGAGTCGTCGAGACGAGGGGGAAAGTCAGAGAAAGAGAAAGAAAGAGGAGATGTCAGCTGGGAAATAGTGTCAACACACATAACACAGAGAATACTCCTTTTAAGAGGCTTCCAGTCATAAAAATGAATACAAAAAGGCTGAAGCCTGAGCCTTCAGTGAGCATGCCTTCAGAAAAGATCACAGGCGTGCAGATGATTGCTGTGGAATACATGAAAAAAACATTAAGGCGGTGTATGCGCCTCCAGCGCTCCTTCTCGCGCGCGCAGGAGAAAAACGCGAGAGGAGAAACGCAGAAGTTTTGGAGCTCGTTTACCTGTGGAGTCTGCAGACAGGCTCTCCGGATCGCCTCCGAGCTCGAGTGCAGAGATGTGTACTTGTGCTCAGGTAAGCTGGGATGCATGGCGAAATGATGCTGTTTGCTGTTCATGGACATCATGTTTGCGCGGGGTCCGGCGCAGATAAAGTGCACGAAAAGCAAAGCGAGAGTCCGGCGGCGCCTCTTCTGGCGTCTCACAGCAGTCAGGCGGATGCGGTAGCGCTCGGCTGCTGATGGTACAGAGGAGATGCCCGCAGTGTGTGTGTATGTGTGTGTGTGTGTGTCTCTCTCTGTTTGGCTGTGCTGTGTGTGGATGAGGAGCGCTCTTACACCTGAGTCCCTCACATCTCGTCCGGCAGCCTCTCCTATTCTCGCGAGACGAGCGCGATTGACTCTCTTCTCCTCCTCTCCTCTCATCTCATGTCCTCCTCGAACTGTAAACCGGCCTAACGACGGTGAGGAGGGCTTCCTTCCATACCTGTGGATTCTGCGCGCATGCGCGCAGCGGCCACCGATTTAGAATGTTGCGGCGTTAAACATTGTGACAGCGGAACCGCTAACATTCCATATGCAAATGAGGGCTCAGCCAAATGACTTTTTTAATGTTTTAAAGCACATTACATAAAAAAAATACGTCCAAGACAATCTTTTAAGAGAACTGTTATAATTGTGTGTGTGTGTGTGTTTTAATAATATTAACATGTCTACAATCCGCATAATTGTTCTTATATGAATGAATAAAATCAATTCAAATCTAAACAGGAAATATATAAATATAGATAAACAGGGAAATAATGTAATCAATTTAAGTTTATTTTAAAAATCGTTTGCATGAATAAAAGATAATAATAAATTGTGAATGTTATTGATGTCGTATTGGTTTTGGTTCAGTTTCAGAAGAATTTGCAAGCCTGGATATTTATATTTAGCTCATGTTTAAATAAGGCTGCGCCGCGTTGATTTATTAAGCAATCATGTCTATATTAAATCAAATAAACGGAAAGAAATACGAATAAAAACATTCGTAAAGATATAACGAAGATCGTTTTAGACATTTCATATAGAAGCTATGCATACATTACAAAATTGCGTAAATTGTAAAATTTCTAGACATCAAAATATAATCTGTGCTTATTTATATCAATTTCAGAAGCTGAATTTGTATTTGAATATTTAAATTTCGCTCACGTTAACGCGAGTCATAGTAGCATTGTCTTGATTGATTACGCAACTTTAACTATCGTGTGTATTTCACTAAACTCTAATCAGGCATGCATTTTTAATCGCCTAACGCTTCTAGTTGGCGCTAATGAAGTGTTAATTCACTAGCATTAATTCATTCTTTAAAAGACTATTCCGGTGATGACACAGGAATAATTCACCATTAAACACAGAAAGACATGTTTTTGCATGCACTATTATTAAAATTATGACAATTACAGTGTTTGTCATAACACTAAATCATGAAACTACTTGAAAATGAAACCATACGCATACAACAGTGTTGTTTTATTTAGACAACATCCAAATACAAAAACATTTGCAGAAATGTTTGAAAAATAGAAAATGACAATATTTTCAAACCTTATGCACAAATATCATTTATTGTTTCCAGAGTTCAAATACAGAATTATTCAGATGCCACATAATTCTGTACAATCACAAAAGCATTGAAATTCCATAGGAAAAAAATCTGTTTAATTTCAAGAGAAAAGCATAATGTTAACACTTTATCCCCAAAGGATACTGAAACGTTTTTTATAACATACAGTAACATCATCCAGCACACACTGCTGTCATAATAATAAACAGTGAAGCAATTTCGTAATAAAAAGCCCTGATGGAAAAGAAAGGCTGTTAAATCTCGTTGAACCCCTAAAAAGTCACTGAGAAGTAAACCCACTGAACTAGATCAAAATGGAGACCATGCTGGAAAATACTTGAGATGCTTCTGCTTCTACTTTAGTTTTGAGAGTTTCGATGGACTGGAGATGGACAATCCTGGGGGACACTTGCGCTTGGTGGGCTGTGTGGGATTTTCCACCATAACTCCAGCTCGGTCACTGAACTCAACAACTGAAGCCTCTTCCTCAGAAGCAGTAGCAGCATCACAATGGGTGGTCTCCGGAGTCAAAGATGCAGTTTGGTGCTCTCTTGCTAAAATCACCTGCCTATAGCCTTAGTAATCCTGAAGACATTGATTAGCTTGTTCAGGTGTGTTTGATTAGGGTTGGAGCTGAACTCTGCAGGACTGCGGCTCTCTAGGACCGAACTTGCCTACCCCTAGACTAGAAGTACCTCGTATTCTCTTAAAAGCAGCTCCCCTCGAGTCTTTCGGAGGCGTCTCTTCACAGAATCACTCTCACTGGACTCAAAGTCAGCTGTGGCTCCTGTGAACACGTATACAAAGAGGAAGACATTTAATCACACTCATCCTCCCACAATCAAACTTAGTTCTACAGCTTTGCATTTCGAAAACAACAATATATGATCGTGAGGTCCGCTGACATTACCAATGATTTCTCTGCAGGGGTTTTCTGGGGTGATGGCCACTCTACAGGTGGGACACTGACTGCTCTTCTCCAGCCACACTTTGATGCAATTGGAGCAGAACACATGGTTGTTGCAACAAATGACCGGCTGACGGACCTTTGAGGTGTAGATCAGAACAAACCAACAGGTAAATGCAAAGTAATGACTGTTGATATTAAATCGTAGAGGATCATTAGAAACAAACAGGACAGAAAAAATCATCATTGCGAACAAATAACCAAATGCCTATTTAATTACAATTATTTGTTTGATTAAATGTTTTAAACACAACATTACGATGCACGCGTGTATGTATATTTATTCAATTTTTGCTGTTTATCCCTGTAAAGCTGCTCTGATACAATCTGTATTGTTTTGTATCAATATATATATGTGTGTGTGTGTGTGTGTGTGTGTGTGCTATGGCATAGCATGTCAATTTTCACATCCTATCTATATAAACAAATGCCCTGCCCACCTTAAACTCACACCATTCAGATCAGGTGATACATGTCAAGTACTGTGTCTGCAAATGTTTTAAATAGATTGCAGTGACTGAATCTTAAACAACTTTAACGCTCCTACCTTATCTGGCACTCTTTATCATCACTCTGTGAATATTTCAGGGATTCAATAACTACATCAAATGCAACAGTGTACAGTCATTAAACAGCGTTTAGACGAGTGCTGGCTGCTCTTTATTGTTGGTTTGTGTTTTGGTAGAAAACAAAAACGGGCCTCAGTGTGTTCTACTGTAGCATAACTATCGCTGCTTTACGTTATTTACACTATCATTTACACATTATCTTCATTAATGCAGGATAAAAGAGCGGTGCATTATGTTAGGTATAAATGTAGGCCTGTAGTGTGTTCTACTGTAGCATAACTATCGCTGCTTTACGTTATTTACACTATCATTTACACCTATTTACACATTATCTTCATTAATGCAGGATAAAAGAGCGGTGCATTATGTTAGGTATAAATGTAGGCCTGTAATATATATATATATATATAATTAAACAAAGAAGAAACGTGAAGTGCACGACTCGGTGTGTGTACTTTCTTCTGTCGTGTATTTAAAGATTTTTTGAAAGTTTGTTACCTTTCCGAGGCAAATCTGACAGGATATCGGTAAAGTCAGTGAAAGAGTAACGTTTTGAAAACTTTGCGCCATGATTTAGTCCTCACATGAGAAACATGCTCCAAAACTCCCTCCAACAGAAACAAAGTAACGCGACTACGGCAAGCGAAGAGTACTTAACTACTATAACGAAACGCGTCCTCCGTAGAATACTCACTGCGCTTTGTTTGAAGACTTAAATGATTAATGCGTTTCTCAAGTAACGTTATTTGAACACAGTCCTTATGTAATAAATCTTGTTTTTATAGAATTTTTGGTCAAAGCGAATTCAAAAGTAATTGATAGACTTATACTCAGGAATAGAATCTCATATTTTCTGTTAAATAAGAATGGTAATGCATGCTTTCAGTAACCATTATTATTGCAATAATAATAATAATAATATATAAAAGTTACAATTATTATTAGCAGTACTAGTAGATAATAATAAGTACATAATTAGATTAGTGGATGTAATGTTAGTCATCATCATTACGTAGAACCAGAGTAGGGGGCGCCATCTTTCTCCCATGCCCGCCAGAGTGAGGCCTCGTGGGCCTCGAGTCGCTCGAAAAAGCCCCTGGAGCTCAGCTTTCACGGTTACTTAGAACCAGAGTAGGGGGCGCCATCACCCTCCCATGCCCGCCAGAGTGAGGCCTCGTGGGCCTCGAGTCGCTCGAAAAAGCCCCTGGAGCTCAGCTTTCACGGTTACTTAGAACCAGAGTAGGGGGCGCCATCACACTCCCATGCCCGCCAGAGTGAGGCCTCGTGGGCCTCGAGTCGCTCGAAAAAGCCCCTGGAGCTCAGCTTTCACGGTTACTTAGAACCAGAGTAGGGGGCGCCATCATACTCCCATGCCCGCCAGAGTGAGGCCGCGTGGGGCCAGCGCATCGTTCTTGTTGGTGTTGGGTATATTTTATGTATATGGTCAAATGCAAATGTATTTACACTTGGCTGAATTGCATCTTAAAGCTTAAATCACAGGCTGATGTCTGAGTGATCAGATTGAGATCCATTTCAAAATGTGTCCTGAAGAGCATTTGTCATGAATGGGATGAAGATATGCAACATAATGTATAAAGTAATCAAATGTCTTATTAGCAATTAAAAAGCCAATTCATGTGTGTTTTCTAATATTTAAAATACTTTTTGATGCATTAAAAATTGTGTTTGTCCCTCATGTTCTGTGGATGCAGCTTGCCTCTGTTTCAAGAGTTTTATCACAACAGTGCAAACCTTTATAGGTTTTACTTAATTTTTATTTGATCTCATAATTCATTGGTCATTGCCAAATGATGGCTTTATTATCTCATAATGACAGACCCGGTGGCTGAGCGCTTGTGAGATAACTTCATTAGCATTGAACTGATGCAAAACAATGTTGTACATTGATTGCATCAAGCGGACTATTGGTGCTGCGACTACATTACTGTCATTTGTTGCAGGTCTTTCATGTCAACACAGCGCATGGCGACTTCACTTTGTCTAGACTGTGAGTAGTCTGACTGTACGCCAGTAGGTCTGAAACTCAGAATTAGACATCTGCATGTAGTAAGAGAGAGTTTGCGTGCGTTTGTGAGCAAAGGCCAAACTGCTGAGCATGCGCTTACATAACATAAATTTGCCTTGTTTTCTTATTTTTACAGACCCCCTCCCTCCCCTTTTGTCTCCTGTCAGTGAGATCAGCATCTCAGAAATACACACAAAAATCTCTTGCTACTCACTTCATCGTTCATAAGTGGAACAAGAGCTGTGTCAACAAGAGACGTCCATTTCATCACCAAATCTCCAGTGAAATGAGTCATCCAGTGAAAGACCTCATCACATCAGCCTACAAAAACACCCATCCCGAGATGAGAAGCTCACCATTTCTGTTGTTAAGAGAGAGGTATGCGTTGATTTGCATTGCTGATGACTCATTTATTATATTAAACCCTGATGTTCCAAAGTTTGGGGTCGGTACAATTTTTTAAAGGGGTCATATGATGTTGCTAAAAAGAGCATTATTTTGTATATCTGGTGTAATGAAATGTTTATGCGGTTTAAGGTAAAAAAAAACACATTATTTTCCACATACTGTACATTATTGTTTCTCCTCTATGCCCCGCCTTTCTGAAACCTGTCGATTTTTACAAAGCTCATCTTCTGAAAAGTGAGGTGTGCTGTGATTGGCCAGCTATCAAGTGCGTTGTGATTGGCCGAATACCTCAAGCGTGTGACTGAAATGTTACGCCCCTCACCATACTGTGATGATGCCCTGTCGGGCCGGAGCGATGATTCAAAAACATGAAAACCCATTATAAACGAGGCATTTGTTGCATCCAGTGGGGACATAATTACGGATTATAATGACTTATACTGTCTTTTTACACGTTGCATCGCGCCATGTCTGCATTTGTGATCGGAGAAATGACAAACAACAAGCACTACTCACTGCTCAAAACTCACGTTTATTCGTTTATTTGAATCGTCAGTGGTAAATTCTTTAAATATAAAAACCGTACTTACAGTCTGCGAGTCAGAACAGCCGGCATTGTAGTCTACTCTCCCAGGATCGAAGCGGATATCGTCCTCTTTTGGAAGGCCAAACAAAGTAGTTTTGCTTTCACAACGAAACACACAGCGCCTTCACGACATGGCGGCAGCAACAGTACTACAGCGAGAATAAAAGTTACGCCTTCTTTCTTTGCGTGAACATTTGGGCGGCGTTATGCAAATCTTCCCACATAGTGACGTAGATATGTGGGAGCGTGTTATAACGAGCCGTTTTAGGTAGGCATGGTTGACTCTTAACTTTTATATAACTTTTTTTATATAACTTTTTAATATCTCTTTGGATTTGAGACTTTAGTCTTTGCAACTTTACAGATCTTCTTTATGCACCAAGAGCTTGTAACACTCCAAAGAGAAAAGAAAAATTAAAATCGCATCATATGACCCCTTTAAATGTTTTTGAAAGGTAGTGTATATTATGTTATATTATAATTAATGTAAGATTCCTACTGTTTTGATGATTTATGCAACCAGGTACAGTTTTACATGATGCATGATGGTTATTGTCATAACTGTTTGTTAGAAAAACCCATGGCAGTTTACTTCAGAAATTTGCTAAAAAATAATTAATTTGCAATCCCACGTGAACATGTAAAAATCTAGTTCAAATCATATTATTGGAACCTTTGCGATACTCTAAAGATTGTATTTTGCCCACATATGCTTCAGACAATGGTTTGTAATCTTTCCCCCATTAATTGGTGACAGTCAATTAATCACAGCCGGTTGAGGACCGCAGGATCTATTGATCTCGTCCAAGACCTTATTTTTCATCCCTTAAATGACACAGATCGGCACATTTGCCTTGGCCGGGTAATGGAGGGTGGCGAGCCAATGACCCGTGTGTCAGGCCTACATGTGTCCCATGCTCCTCCATTGTGAAATGGCATCTTTACCATTTAAGCTGGAAAGGTTTAGACTGCCCTAAGAGCAAGGCGCTGGGACAGGCCTTGCTCCGCTGCTCAGCTGACCTTTCTGTTTAAAGCTTAATCACTGGCAAGTGCTTACATTAATTAGCCTGTCCTCTCTCTTTCTCTCGCTATCGCCCACCTGATCCCACACACACACACACACACCAACATCACGCCAGTGGCTTGAGAACCAGAATGAGTGTAACCTGCAGTCGTGCACATCTTGAGGACATTAAGACATTTTCCCCCGCACTCCTGCAGGCTTCACGTATTGATTAGCGTGGCCCCTGACCGTGATCGCTGCGGTGCCAGAGAGTGTGTCATGGAGATGAGGGGCCCCTGCTGTCCGCGGGGTTCTTTCCTAAGCCCCGGCTCTCTCTCCACAGTCAAGCCAGAGCTGACGCCCCCTCCACGGCTCAGACACCTTTCATTGCCCTTTCCCAACCCTGCTCTTTAAAAGTCGGAGCCGCATCCGTTTTTTTACGTTTTGCATCATGGATTGAAGCTCACATCATCTGGAATTATCCATTATGTGTCAGAAACTGTGCTAAAAGCTTGCAAAGGAAGAGTAAAAACATCCTCGGAAATGTTCACACTGGATGTGTTCTTGCATAAAGATTACTTCTGTAATTTTTTTTATGTTAAACATTTTAGTCCAGCTTAAATCACAGGAACAATAGGCTGAATCGCCTGTTGGGTCTCATTCACTAATAGATATTTGTAGGCAAAGGAGAACTTCTCACAATATGATAAAATACATTTAAAATAAAATATCACCTTAAAATATATAAGGCCACCCAGAGTGTGTTATTTATTTATTTAGTTAGTTAGTTAGTGTTAGTAATATGTGGTTTCAGTTGTTTCTACATTTTATTTATCTATCTATCTATTTTTTTCTTTGCGTATGTGGTTTCAGTTGTTTCTAAAGTTATTGCTGAATTAGTTTGTGAAAATGTCCATACGCACAAGGATTGAAGCTCACGGCATCTGATTAAATCAACCCGATCTCATGAAAGTGCGTGTAAATAGTACGCTAAATAAAAACGAAAACTCGTGGTATTGATATGCAAAAATTTACTTTATTTACACGCACTTTCATGAGATCCGGTTGATTTAATCAGATGCCGTCAGCTTGAATCCTTGTGCGTACAGACATTTTCACAAACTAATTCAGCAATAACTTTAGTTCTAAATTTACAAATAAATAAATAAAGCTGCGTCACGCGGATACGTTGTTTACGTTCAGATCAAAGCGCAAACAATGCGTGACACAGCTGACACAGAATAGCATACGCTGTTTACGTTTAGTGGATAGTCTCCAAAATGGCGCCAGGGTGACATGGAGGAGACGAATTGTTGAATAAAGTCGTTTTTTTTTTTTTTCGCGCACAAAAAGTATTCTCGTAGCTTTGTAAAATTACGGTTGAACCCCTGATGTCATGGATTATTTTACTGATGACCTTGATCATGTAAGGATCCTTGCTATCTATGGGAGGGTCAGCGAGCTCTCAGAATTCATCAAAAATATCTTAATTTGTGTTCCGAAGATGAACGGAGGTCTTACGGGTTTGGAACGACATGAGGGTTTGTAATTAATGAAAAACAGAATTTTCATTTTTGGGTGAACTATCCCTTTAAGATGCTGTGGAGCAAGATCGGTCAGATGGTTAAGTCAGGTTTTGCCGTCCCTCAGCGCAAAGTCACATGACTTTTTTTAATGCGTAATTTACTCTGCAAATGTGTTTCCATTTCCCATTATTCGCATTAACCCTTTTTCACACAAGTCAAAAACCACCTCAAGACGAATTGTTGAATAAAGTCGTTTTTTTTTTTTCGCGCACAAAAAGTATTCTCGTAGCTTTGTAAAATTACGGTTGAACCCCTGATGTCATGGATTATTTTACTGATGACCTTGATCATGTAAGGATCCTTGCTATCTATGGGAGGGTCAGCGAGCTCTCAGAATTCATCAAAAATATCTTAATTTGTGTTCCGAAGATGAACGGAGGTCTTACGGGTTTGGAACGACATGAGGGTTTGTAATTAATGAAAAACAGAATTTTCATTTTTGGGTGAACTATCCCTTTAAGATGCTGTGGAGCAAGATCGGTCAGATGGTTAAGTCAGGTTTTGCCGTCCCTCAGCGCAAAGTCACATGACTTTTTTGATGCGTAATTTACTCTGCAAATGTGTTTCCATTTCCCATTATTCGCATTAACCCTTTTTCACACAAGTCAAAAACCACCTCAAGCGAGCATAAAAACGTGTTTGCGAATTAAGGGATTTTTATTCGAAATTTGGCATTCACATCACTCGTTTCTGATGCGATACTTCAGAATGCGCATGAAAACAGGGAACGTAGCTATCGTTTTTGCACTTTCGTTTGGTCACACCAGTATTGAAGAAATGATAGACTTCAAAACAGTTAAACATAGAGCTCTACACTTAAGACGCCTGTCCCGCCCTCAGAGTCATCTGATTGGACCAAAGATGTCTATTTGGCACATGCGTACATGGACCAACAGTTAAGCACAGATTAAACACAAGAACCCATATCCTGCACAAATGACCCCTAATTCCACTGTAGTCTGCCGAAAACCAGACACAAATGAATACATGCATATAAACACTCCTCTAATGGAGAGCGTGGGATGCCACCCCAATTATTAGTACGAAAGTCTGTTCTCTAGCTGTGCCGCCACCCCCTTCCTCTCTCTAGCCTCAAATTTATTCTCCTCCGCGGGTGCAGTTTTAGTGGTGGGCCGTGCGTCGCGGTGCAGAGAGGAGCAGCGTGCGGTGACTTTATTGCATTGCCTACAGGCTGCTTCAGCCACACGACTCGCTCGTGCCGCCCCCACCCTTCCACGCCACAGATGAGGCTCCGCTACACCCCTCTTCCTCCATCCAGCCCTCTCTCTCAAGGGGCCCCTGGGAACCGAGGGTGGATTATTATGGAAATACTATCATCCACTGGCCCTCTGAAGCACAGCTGGGCAGGGCCATCATGCATTGTGGCAATCTGTTCTGGGAAGGGTAAACGTGAACATCAGGGCGGCAGAGATGAGAGTGGCATGCATAGATCACATAAAATGTGTGCTGAATAAAATGCAAAAAAACTTCAAAATGACCTCGATAAATTTTGTACTTTTTGCCTCCGGTTTTTTTAGGGCTCCCTCGCAGCTGTATCTCACAGGACGCGTGTAAATAAGACATTTTCATCTCAAATATTTGATGTCCACCTGCATTACGGCCTGTTTCTTTTGCATGTCAGGAGCTCTTGTCTGATGCCTTTGTGTTACTGTGCTGAGATCAGCGTAATCTGTGCAGCAAACGTCGCCGGTTTTGTTCCTGTCGAGGGACGGATGGTGTGTCCGTGTATCAATCACAGTCACCGGTCTGAGCGCTGA